AGCGCTGAAAGCGCGGTTGGGTGACATAGTCACTGTTCGCCTAGCGGTGGGGAGCGTGTCACGATCCCGAAGGTTCCTGTGGGCCTCGGAGTCAACTTCGATAGCGTGAAACGCTGTCTAGTCTTAGACATTTAGGGCAAGGTATGATTTCATCCTAGGAATGGCATGGTTGGAACACCATGAGTCATCGATTGATTGGAGGTCAAAGACCCTGGGCGACACGCGCACGTCTCCTGGTGGATGCGCGTGGAGTGGCACGTAAACACTGAGCACTGCTCTTGTTGCGGAGCAGTCGCTGCATGCCATTGATGGCGTGGTCGGACAGAGTCCAAGGCATCTTGGGCACAGCCCTTCAGATGCGCGTGGAATAGCACGTTATCCACTAATCGAAGCCTGCGAGATTGCAGTTCTTCTTCGGATGTTGTAGAAAACATCGGAGCTCCAAAGGAGCGGAAAGTAAGGGGGACGGTGACACCAGACGACGCAGAGTGCGTGTTCACCCTGGTCTCACCGAGATATAGAACCTCTGTGCAGAGGCAACGGCGACGCCGTATGCTGGCTGCAAGACGCCGGGCGTCGACCCTGATCCAGGGTGTGTCTACCGTTAAACGAAGGTGCACAGTTTTACACCCTCGTCAACGGTATGGCGGGGAGAAAGATGGCGACGTCCACCTCGAGGCTATGCTAGCAGTAGATGCTCTTATTGAGCGGGGCGCGGTGTCCCTTGAAGAGTTCGGCAGTTTTTTGAAGGCAGGCTATTTGGCCGAAGTGGTCATTGAACGACCGGACGAGGAGATAAACTCGTCATCGCGTCTTAGAAGACACCAAGAGAGTGCTGAACGCACGAATTGGATCGTCGGTCCTACGGAATCCCTTGGACCCGTACTATCCTTTGGTAAAGGAAGATCAAGACGTCGTCTCCAAAGACCCGCCTTCGGTCCTACCTCCGGACTGGGGTGTGCGTCATGAGATCGACTTGGTTTCGGAAACCAACTTTTGCGTAACACGCCAATAGCCCCTGCCCAAGGAGCAGTGCGACGTCATTGACGCCTTTTTCCGTGCGAAGCACGGCGCAGTGATGGTGCGCGAGAGCAAGTCTCCCCATTCGACACCCACGTTTTGTGTTCGGAAGCCGAACGGCAAGT